ATGCGCATATGAGAAACAAAAGCAATTATGTAATTTTTTTTCGGTTAACGATTTGTTTCTTTTCTCCTTAACATTCTTTCTATTGTGATCAATGCCTAAACTGACACTTGTCTTCACATCGTGAATGTTCCGGACTAAACTTAGTCAATCGCCTTATTAAGTAGAACAAAGCTGGCGTACTTAGTTAAGCAACTGCCATTCATTTCTTGCTGAGGATTTGCATCATAGTCTTTAGCTACACTTAAAAAGAAACTTCTTAATGAATAGAAGAATGCATGATAAGAACTCATCGGCATTTTATTTCATTTGAGTAACTGCTACTAATGTAAACGCCTATTCTCAAGACCTATTTCTGGATGTTCTCGAATTAGAAAATAATAATAGAGCTTAAATGAGCTGTTTAATAAACTTTGAATTCTCTATATTCGAGCGCATAAGACACTAAATATTCTATGCTCGTTTTCTTAACAAATTGATGCTTAGGAACTACTTTCAAACAAGTTGTTTATAATTAAATGCTTTAAGACGGTTTTTATTTTTTAGAGACAACCGTTAATTATCATTACAGAACGACCTTACAGTACATCATTAGACAAATATAAGCAAAAAGCAAGCGTTTTCAAGTTGCGAACCTACGCCAATAGCAGTCGAAACGACAATAAAAGCAAATCTGAGACAAGCAGTGATCTGGATACGATAAGATATCGTATCGTAAGATATTCAAAAATGAGATTAAGTAAAACGTACAAAAGGTTCAGTTTGGAAAGAGTATTGAGAGCGAGAAAAAGAGAGAAAGAGAGAGAGCGAGACAGAAGGAGGAGAGGAATCGATAAAAATATAAAGAGAAAAGAGAATATATTTTAAATATATATTAAAACATACTTTTTTTAAAAACAACAATGCATTCGGATTTGTTTTTGTTTACAAGAAAAGCGATTAAAAAAAAAAATCCCTTTTTACGCCAAAAATTGCAATATAAATACTTACAGTAGATACGCTATATTTTTCATATAATACGTAATATAAGATGCTCGCGATAATTCATCCGGAATTGTACAAAAACCTAACTCGACCTCTTAAACAGCTACCTACGAAGGATTTCAGAATATGTATATATACGGTCGGAATCAGAGAGAGATTCTGATTTTGTTACTGGTCTCGTTTGTAAACCATGTAATTATGGCAGAATATCTCGAAAAAATGCGACTTGTTAAAGGCGAAAATGACGGACAGACAGCTTTAAGTAACGCATAATAGGTGATAAAAAGCATGTAATGTAGGCTAAAAAGACGGGTTCACATAACGCAGTTTGTCCGGCCTTCTTAAAAAGCAAGTACTAGCTTGAAAGTTTATAGACAAAGTCTCCAGTTGAACAGTATCCTCATATGGGGGCTATGTTGAAAGCGTTTTCTTTCCCCAAAAATATAACATTTATAAGGTTGGGTTCACACTTGCTGTACACGTACTTATGTATGTATATGCCAAGTTTAAATGTCGTCATGTCAGTTTTTCAATTTTCCGAGTTAATATAAACTACGTGCGTATCTCTTTTTACACGATTTCCCGCTTTCCTTTACCATGAAAAAGCTTGCAAAAATGGTAAGAGTAAAACCTAATAAAGTTTGAAATAAATACAATGTGCGTGTGAATATATTTATTATTGTACCCTACACCATTTGCGGTACAGGGTATATTAAGTTAAGGTCTTAAGATTGACCCACCATTTATTATACTGATCGATTGAGAATCATTTTCTGAATCAATCTACGCCTGTCTGTCCATGTACATTTGTGTTTAGGATACCGGTCGTAATTTTTGAGACAGTTGAATTAAATTTGGTACATTGATGTGCTTTGACCCAGGGACGAACGCTATTGAAGATGGTTTGGATCAGTCCACTTTTTCGACTGCTTATCATACGGCGCCTTATTTTGAAAAATCGTTACATGAAAAAAAATTGCAATTTTCCAAAATTCTAGACAAAAGTGGCTAAGCAATAGTATATAGGCATTCTGAACTGTTGTGAAAATTTTGGATCGGCTGGGGCAATTTTTTGAATTCTGTCTCATATAATCGGTTCTATGGGAAGTGAATTTTTATATTATGGTAATAAGGTTCAATTTTCAATATTTCATGGTTAAAATTAGCCCATAATAATAAATTGACAAAGAAATCAACCTTATGGAATTTGGACCACGTAGGCCTGTATTTTGGATACCGCTGCGTAGATTCTCATGACACGTACACCGAAAAGAGCTAATTGTTAATTTTTTTGTGATGAAAATTTGTTCAAGACAGTAATTAAATAAAAAAATTATGTTAACCTAATTTGAAGCATATGAGTCTATTTCTTGGTTTCACTACATATAAGATATGTCAGGAGTAACAAACATTTTGGAAAAAATTTGTACCATTTTTTGATGAAAATGAATTTCGAGTAGGGTTTAAGCAAAAAAATGAAGGGAATTCGGATCACATAGGCCTATTTTTGGGATCCTAGAATATATAGGCGCTATCACGAAACTCGCACTCTTATGTAGGAGAAAGTCTAATCTTCCAATATACGGGATTTCACGAAAATTATGGCTTTGAATGAAAACAATGTGTACCTTTGTAGCATTATTACCAAAACGAATGTATAATTATACTAGACGGAGTGCTTTGTATTGGTCAGCGTTGCCCAGCTATAATGCTCGTACTTGTTGTTATTATAACGTAGTAATTATGTTGTTTAAATGATGGCATAAGGTATTCTCGTGCTTGGTAACTGAAAACAAGGTCGCGTATTAAAAGAAGTCCAACGATAGAAAAAAAGATGGGCTATTACGTTTATAATTGAAAAAAAAAAAAAACTATTAACTGCCGCGATTTAAACGTAAAATAAGGTTGGGATATATTTACCAGATTCGTTTTGAATAAAGTAGTAAAGTTATTTCTCGTTCATTAACGTTGTAGTTCTCCATCAGCCAATCACAATACATTTATAAAAAAGAATTAAAAATGAGAAAGAGAGGCAAAGCAGGAGTTATAGGTAGAGATTAATAATCAATAAATTTGCATAATAAAAGAAAAAGATTTTATTACCTATATATACGTATGTGGGGAATTCCCTATGAATCATTTCAAACACATTTAGCATTTCTTCTTACTTTTTTTGTTTTTTCTTAATTCTATTTTTAATATTTTTTTTTGCTTTTTGTTTTCAAATTTCCGTAATTTTTAAATGTGCGACTCTGAGTTTGTATATACTTACTCTTTTACATGCATTTTTACACTAAAAAAAAAAGAAAAGTAAAACCCTTTCTCTTGTTTTCAATTTTATCATTTACTCCCATTTGTGTAAAGAGAGCTAAAGTGAGCGAGTGAGACAGAATTGTACAAAGAGAATAATTTAAAATTATATTGAAACGTTCGGATTTTGTTCTACTTTAAAAAAACGATTTGTATATTAGTTGATCGGATAGTATTAGTCAAGTATTCTATAAAGCCGGCTACACAGTGCAGATAAAGTTATGCGTTAAACTGTTTCTATTGAAATATATATATATATAAAAAGAAACTGCAAACTACTTATTAGATAACAAATAAAAATAAATACGCGCGCGACTTTTGTAATGTATACTTGTGTATACATACGTTTGAAGTCAACATAGTCGCAGGAACGCGCAGAGTTTCTCAACTTTAACCATTGCGTTAGAAAGCAAAAAAAAAAGGCAAATGAAAACGTGGTCAAATAATAATATAATAATAATAGTAATAATAATAATAATAATAATAAAATAATAATGATATAATAATATAATATAATAATAATAATAATAATACTATTACCAGAATAATATTATAAAAATAATATAATAAAGCACACCCACACCAGCATATAATAGATATCTGCATTATTACAAACATGCATGCATGCATATATATTAATGTGTACCTGCGTCTATAGATACAATTATTTATTTTCATCGTTTAGTTTTACATATGTATTTACGAGCAAATAAATAAACCTCTGTTATGATTAGTAACAGACACCGAACCTAACAAGTGCGAGCATAGACATCATTCAATTGAAATTCAGTTTAATTTTTTTTATTTATTTATTTACTTTTTTCTTTTTTTTTTTTTGCTACTCTTTAATAATAATCTTATTCGCATTGTTACCCTAAAGCTTCAGTTACTGATATTTGTTACTCACAAACTGATCACTGACTCTTGATGTTTACATATAGTATTAATAACACACAACAGCAACGATAATGATTATTAGGAGCAGCAGAAGCAGCAGCATTAACAACAACAGCAACAACAACAACAATAATAATAATAATAATAATAATATTAACGCCAATAACATCAGCCAGAATAAGCACTTGATCAAGACGGCAGCAGACAAACAATCAAAAGCATTCGCACAAACAAACCCATAGTAGCGATACCAGTAACAGACTAGCATCGGTTTTACTTGACTTCTCAACCTAATATATACTCCGTACACTCCGGCACTCATTTATAAACATTCAGTGTTATTCTATATTAAATGCACACATACGCTCCTATATGCAAACAAATATACAAACATATTTTTATTTATGTTTCATTGGTATCGGTTGTGCTTAAAACTGTCAGACTGTTTTCAACATTTATATTTCGTTTTCATTTAAGAAGTTTATCTTATCGCGTTTGGAATGCGTTTGCAAAGAGGTTTCACAGCAGTAACAGCACATGCAAAGGCTACGACAAAAGCAGCAGCAGCACCAGCACCAGCACC